AATAAAATAAAATAAAATAAAATAAAATAAAATAAAATAAAATAAAAATCAAGTCAAGTCAAGTCAAGTCAAATCAAATCTTTATTTTAGCGATAGCCCAGCTTAATATACACATTGAAATGATGAATGGAGAAGCCCCTCCCCTCCCCATTGCCCTCTCAAGTTCTAACCAATCAGCTTTCGGGTTTCACTTTGCCGGCCAGTCAAGACTCATTTTCTTTTCATGACGTCAGCGCCCCGCTGGAAGAACCTCGCACCAATGAGGAGCCAGGAGGGGGGCGTGGCCTGGCCAGCTGGGGTTTAATGTCTATTTTGTTTCCGAGACCGTTTGCTGCAATTATATTCTGGGCGGTGAGTAATTTCCTTTTTCTGTAATTTTTATATTTTTTTTAAATTGCATTGGATGATCCTGTCGGGAAAACAAAGCAGATACCGAAGGCAGAATAATTTTTTTGCATTGCCAAGGAATATTTTTTTTTTTTTGCAAAAGAGGAACAGGCTAGTTTGTAAGAAACTGAGATTTGTAATCCTGTTTTTTGTCTATAAAGGAACCTGAGATTTGCGATCGTGGTTTGTCACTCTAGGGAAGGGTTGGCATCTTGGAAGCGACGTCTTTTCCCCTTGGGAAAGAGTTTGCCTTGAAAAACTGAACCTTTTGCCTGCGTTCACAAAACCCGGGGGGGGGGGGGAATCCCTACACGTGTTTGCGGGTGGGATGCGTTTTATAAATGCTTTAACTTGCGTGTCCTGTCCCTTTCCAGCCCCTCCAGGAAAGAAAAAAGCAGCCAGTTTTACGACCAATTTTAAGCCCGGCCAGTTTAATCCTCCAGCTTTTTTTGGGGGGGGGAATCCGTTTATGCTAAATGGGTTTTTTTTAAAAAAAAAACCGCTCTGTAAAATGGAGTTTTCCTCATTCCCAGAAGGAAGTCATTTGGTAAATAAATAAATAAATAAAGTCCTATCCAGGTTATGTAAGGTTAGACTCAAATAAACAACCATATTCAGGCTGGTTAATTTTTTTTTTATTGAATTATTTATTTACCTCCTTTGGACTCCCAGTCTCCTGGTGATTGGTCCAAAGTCCAACTGCCTTCCATGCCTGAAAGGTGAGTCTAGAACTCATCACCTCCTGGTGATTGGCGCAAAGTCCCAGCCAGCTTTCATGCCTAAGGGCGGGACTTGAACTCAGGACCTCCTGATTTCAACCCTGATGTCTTAATCCCACGCAAGGAGGGGATGAGTGTTCAAAAGGTTTTCTGAACTCGTTCTTTCCTCGATTAGGTCCATGGGGAAGCTCTCGTCCAGATGTCTTGCAAAATCACCGTATTGGTTATTGGCGCGGGAAACCGGGGGGAGAATTATTCTTCGTATGCTCTGTGTTACCCGGATCGCATGAAGGTAAAATTCTGGTTTGTGATTTATATAGTTATTTATTTTGCTCTTATTATTATTATTATTATTATTTGGCTTTTGAGCAGACTTTGTATGAAGATAAATCCAGCAAAATACCTCTAATCGGAGGAGGAGGAGGAGGAGGAGGAGGCGGCGGCATGGCCAGCCTCCTCCTGAGGCAACCTGAGAGCTTGTGGGGGAGCGAGAGGGAATGGAGCTGTCGGAGAGAGACGGAGGCAGAGCCTGGGCCGTCCGTCAGCCCTTAGATGGAGAGTCAGCAGCCCCCAGGTCTGGAGGTGACTGATGAGGAAGAGGAGGAGCAGCCGGGTCCAGTGCCTGACACATGAATGCATAGCAGGCAGAGGAGAGGAGAGCAGTGGAAATCTATGGGCTGGTCCTTGGGACGGAAAAGCCCTTGCTGCTAGTGAAGCCACACCGAGCTCAGGGGATAAAAGGCAGTGGGCGGAGATGAGTAGATGTGCCAGGCAACTGTTCATCTTCTGGCCTGACGGACTTGTTAGCCCGCGGTGAGAGAGAAACTCTTCGCCGGGGCTGCCAGCGCTCCTAATTAAAGGAATCTTTTGAATTCACTTCCAGAGGGTTTGTCGTGTTTGGGCAGGTGGGTCAGAACAATTCTCTTTCTTCCAGGTGATTGGTGTGGCCGATCCTCGGGAACTTGTCCGTCAAAAACTACAAGACGTGCATCAAATCCCGGCGGAGAATGTCTTCGACGGTGAGGGCCTGCTGCATTTTTAAAGTTTTTTAAATACTTAAAAATATTTTTTTTAAAAAAAATACAAAATAGTTTACATTATTTTTTTTTTAAAAAAAATCATTAAAATCGTTTTGAAAACACGGGGACGGCCGCCGGGAAGCCCAACATTTCTGTGGCTAAAGTGAGACATTGGTTCAGTGAGTTTCCACAGGGAAGATGCAATGGTTGTAAGTATGAAAAATGGTCATAAGTCCCTAAGCTGTAACTTGGAACAGTCACTAAACGAACTGTTGTAAGTTGAGGACTACCTGTAATGCGTTGAAGTTACAAGAAAGCCAATCTTGACTGTGTTAGGAATAAACCACATGCCTGTAAGAGAAGTCGGCCAGGGCATGGGGTTGGATTAGATGACCTCCAGATCCCCCCCTTCTGATTTTCTGGTCATTGGAATCCCCCAATTCCTGCAATGTTTTTAGCGGGTCCTTCTTTTAAAGATTGGATCGCCGCTGCGGAGCGAGAAAAGTTTGCTGACGCCGTGATTATAGCAACTCCAGACAGACTCCATAAGGTGAGTCCATTTATTTTTCTTTTAATTGTCATTGTAAAAATTGTAAACACACAAATCAGTTTTTAATTTTTAACTGTACGGCAGTTTGCAAGTTGTTTTGTGTCCCCGGGAGCATCTTAACCGCCAAAAACTGAAACTAAACATTTTGCCGTTAGAAAAAAAGACGTTGGAAGCCGTGCAATCTTTTATGACATCATTCAACTTTGGTTTTTGTGTGTGTGTGTGTTGTTTGTGTAGTTTTTTTTCCATTAATACTTTGCTATTGTACTTTCATTTTGATCACATTTATATCTTGCTCATTCATAGTGCAAGACACTATTATTATTAATATTATTATTGCTTTATACACAAAAAATGACAATGTAATGACAGTGCAAATGAGATAACTATGCTGGGTTTTATATCACAAATCACTAGTCAAACATCATTATTATTATTATTATTATTATTATTATTATTATTATTATTATTAT